ATAGAAGTCTATGGAAAGTCCCCACAATTCACAGAAACAAACGTGCGTATGAGTGTGTGAAGGGCATCCTAGGTGTAGATGACTTTCTTTCAGACGAATCCAGTGGGAGTTATATGAAAAATGGTGCTGGCTCTTCCAAGCGTTAGAATGAGAGTAGGAGGGTGTTTTTGTTCAACAGTCCAAAAGAAGTCAAATAAAGTGCGTGCATCCATAATAAACCATGCCTCACACGGCTCCGGGGGGTGAATAAAGGCCTCCTGTAGCGAATCCATGCGTTTTCATTAGACAAATATCCATATTTAAAATGTTATAAATACTTTTCTCTCACTTCTGCTAACTGTCGTATGTGCAAGTTGTTCCGGCGAATTATAAATCAAACCAAGGATTTGTAAAGAAGATTGTCGGAGGAGTTGGATACAAGCCAAGAGGAGACTGGTTTTCCTGCTAAAGTAAGGAAACTTCCTGTAAACAAACTCACGAGACTAGCATATCTCAGAGGCGCTTACGCTGCGCATACGTCCTCCGTCATCCACCGGAACGAGTCAATTTTCACATCTTTGTCTAATTTTAAGTCTAATAAAACGTACATTCAGTCTAAATTTCCTTTTTGGGTGAACTAACCCTTTAAGATTTTAACAAAAGAAACTGAACAGTGGCTTAAAGGCAGGGTAGGCGAGAGGCTAGCAATAGCAAGCTAGCTTTGACAGCATAAGACCCCCTCCTCCCTGCAAATCAGTCTCCAAAGCCACGCCTCCTCCAGACACATGAGTGCCAACCAGAATCAGTCTCATTGCTGCTCAGACACAGCCCACAACATTACAGTAGTACAATTATTTAGCCTATCATAATGTTCCGACTGAATAATCTGGGTGGATGAGCATTTTATCTGGATCTTGATATAAATAAATGTAGAGCACTTTACTCAGCGATTGCTGTCGGGACGTGAAGAGACTTTCATCCAGCAACAAAACATGTTTATGAACCAAATCACCTTTAATTCTGTTTATGGCAGAGCAGGGAACATCCGAACACGTTATGTTTGGCTAAAGTTCTTTGGCGTCTTTGCTATGTTAGGAGTTCAGTGTCTAAACAGAGCCGTGACCTCTCTACAGCTTGTCGTAAAACTTCACGCTCATTCTTTAACTCAATTTGAAATAGCGTCATTAATGTGTCTGGAGCTGTTAGGAAGCTTAGCATATCATTTTTGTCTTAAACTTGATTAAGTATACTTATAGTACAATAATCTGAGAATATGTTTTTAGTGATTTTCAGAGTTATTATGTTTATTTGTAGAATATATTAGAAATACACTTTCTAATGTTAGACTGTTGCTGATTAATCGGTGGGAACAGATTTCTAAACTGACGGAATGGTTTACAAATCTTTCTGAATGTCTGAATCTGTGAGCAAAGAGCAAAACTGAGAGCACAGATGTCTGAATCTGTGAGAGCATCGTGTGCAGATGATCAGGTCTTCAGACGCTTCTTCTGCAGCACAGCAACTGGAAATGTATTCTTCTGAAAGGAGAGGATTCACTAGACTGAATAAGCCGCTTTTGTGGGCCTCTCTCTCTCTAAACTAAATGTTATGTCCATAGGACACAGCATTTCCGAAGCGATGTGTTTTATGTAGATACACTTATATTTCGTCCCAATGTCGCGATGCAAGGTGACTCAACTTCTCATTCGCCTGCGTGTGAGTCTTCACCCCTGATGGAGCGGGCAACTCTCGCGAGAGCGCCTCCTCTCGCGATGCCGCCCAGCATAGCCGCCACTGCAGTGCCTATAAAGCGACGAGACACGGCGTTGCGGCAAGGTCGCGCAGCATCACGGCGAACGCTCGGTTCACGGAGCTCGTTAGCGTCCTCTGGAGCGCGTCGGATATTTCCTCACACGCGTTCAGGCTGGACGCACGCGCCGCTGTTCTCCGTTTGCATCCGCATGAGCGGCGTTGTTCTAGTCTTCCTGCAGCATCAGTGTCGCCTCCCCCGCCCCCGCCGCACTTCACCGGACACTCTCGGCTCTGAGGAGGCTTCTCTGTCATGTCGGCGTCCCCTCCGCCCCCCGCCGCCGCGAGCGACCATCTCTCCATCAAGCCCGCCGGTCCCACGCCGAGCCAGAGCCGCTTCCAGGTGGACCTGGTGTCGGAGTGCGCCGCGGCCTCGGACTCCTCGCCGCCCGAGTACCCCGCCGAGCCGCTCCGGGACTCCGCGTCCGGCGGAGAGGAAGCCAAGGGCCGGTTTCGCGTCGTGAACTTCGCGGCCTCGAGTCCGGACGCGGCGCCGGCGGACTGCGCGCAGAACGGGGACACGGTGATGAGCGAGGGCAGCCTGCACTCGTCCAGCGGCGGCCAGCAGCACCATCACTACGACACCCACACCAACACCTACTACCTCCGCACCTTCGGACACAACACCATCGACGCCGTGCCCAACATCGACTTCTACCGGCAGACCGCCGCGCCGCTGGGCGAGAAGCTCATCAGACCCACGCTCTCGGAGCTGCACGACGAGCTGGACAAGGTACACGCACACGGGGCTTCAGCGGGCTACTACCGAGCGCACAGACCTGAGAACACACGGGCTTGGGCGAGGATCAGTACTGCACACACAGGCGTTTGTGGGTCAGCAATGAAAACATGTGACCAGTTTAGTGGGTTAGTATCAGACGTTAGATGAGATCAGTAAACACCAGCTTCATATCAAATGTTTGTCCTGGTGGTGATGCTCTATAACACTTCAGAATCGGCATGCAGCGCTGTGACCTTTGACCTATGTGCGCTGCGGTGCGTGTGAGGATGCTGATGGTGGGAAATGATATCTGAAGATCAGACCCTTCACTGTATCATTGTACATGTAGTTCAGTGTTGTGAAAACACAAGGCCAGGCGGTGTTTACATTCTTTCTCTGGACTCCAATGTGTGAGCGTGTGTGTGTGACCATGAGTGAGTGTGTGTGTGTGTGTGTGTGTGTGTGTGTGTGAAAAAGAAGATAGACAACTGATTAACAATCTAATACAAGTTCTGCTAGCATTAACCGAGAAATTACACTGAAAGCATGATCTCAGCCTTTTTATGGATCTCAAAGAATCATTTCTGACAGCAAGCTCAGATAAGAGAAACATCATACATACAAGCTGAATAGTCTGATTAAAAGGAGGGTATTCACATTTAATTTGCTCTTCTGAGGTTTAGGCTCTGCATTACAGTCATATGACCCTTCCCGACTGTGTGATTTTGGCACGCGGTCTCTTGTTGCCTCTCTTGTTTGGTTTGCCTGGCTGTTCTACAACATCCTCTAGTCTACCCCATATATATATATATATATATATATATGTTATTCTAAAAGAAAAGCATAAAACATTAAATCCTTTTGTATCCTCAAGTTGATAAGAAAACAGTTCAGATCATGTGGAACTTGGAAGAATTTGAGACAAGTTCCTATTGAGATCTCTGACTTTTAGCTGCAGACGTGGCGTTTTGGCAAATGTGAGCACAGTTTGAGACATTGTTGAAATTCTGTGCTCTTAGGGTGACAACACGTCCCAGTTACCGGGGAAAGTCCAAGTTTCACTAGGTGTGTCCAGGTGTCACAAAAAAAAAATGTTCTTATTAAATTGTAAATAATTACAGAATTCGGCTTAAATGCAAATAACATCCTTTAATTAATACCGCTGGCAGCTGGATGCCAGTAATTTGGCCGCCGTGTTGATTGTGTTTTTAAAAATCTTTTTCTTAGTCACTGAAAGCATCCTCCTTTTCTTCGTTCATCACCTGAAAAGTCATTGTAAAATATTTTAGTATTAAATGTTTCATTGCGTTTTGTTATATAATTTATTTCCACCCTAGTCTGGGTGTCTCAGTTTTAGACCTGTACAACCTCAGAAACACATTAGCGACAACTACGTTCTAATTATAAAATCTGAAATGAGACTCTGAAATAAAACTTGGTTACACTTTATTTTGACATTATAACTATAGGTAACTAACTCATATGAGTATTAGAAGACTGTAGGTTAGGGTTAGTGTACATGCAAAGTTACTTATAATAATAGTAATAATGTGCATGCAAAGTTATTTACTGTCAGTAGAATGTGAGAATCAAAATAAAGTGTTAGCAGGTATTAAACAGACCGTCTAATGAATCTAAAGACTGCTAGTTGACATTTACTTTTAGTTAGTAGAATGTCTAAAGTGGACTATTGAAATAAAGTGGTACCTAAAACTCTCGATTGCACTTTATTTTGATGGTCCTTTCTGCACATTCTGTTGACTATAAGTAACATTGCACTTACATGTCTACTCACTCTCATTAGAGTATTAATAGAGTATTGGTAGACTGGTATGGTTAGGGTTAGAATAAGTTGACATGTACTTGAAAAGTTACTTATAGTCAGCAGAATGTTCAAGGGGGACCATCAAAATAAAGTCTTACCAAACTCTCATTTTGATCTAAATCCCTTGTGAAATAGAAGCACACTTTAGCATACTTTTAAAAAGAATATAGTAAAGAGTGAACTAAATGTAATGTTTTCAGACACTTAACTGCAATTGGGTTGTTTTGACCCAGCGGTTGGGTTAAATGTTTAACCCAACCTTCTGGGTAGTAACCCAACCGCTGGGTCAAAACAACCCAATTGC